ATAGTCTGAGAAGCCCGTTTCTGTTTTATTTACTGCACAGTAGAACAGCCACAGTGGATTAGCTCTACAATACCCGTAACAAAAGCCCAACAGCTGATGCATGTGATGTTAGGAGGTGACAAAACAGTTAAAGTATGCTGCTGGCTACAGGCAAGCCGTCAGCAGATGCAGACAAAAGGGCTTGTGACAAGAATAACTCTCTCTCCAAGGCGAGCGGTGAAGAGTATCCAAAATACCAGTACCCTTTTCTCCTTGACATTGTCTTCTTACAGTCAGCATTTTATTGTCCTTTTATAGTATTAAAAAAAAAATGGAGGAGGAAGAAAGAAAACCCACACACAAACTAATTCACCAAGATGCTAGGCAGGATTTGACTTTCCCATCCCTTCGCTGTTCCTGCACTCCATATGCATCCTTTTCCTGTCAGAGGAAGTTTCAGAAAAAAAATTAGCTTAAAAGATGAACTGTAAAGATGATCTGCCTTGATAAGATTGGGATCTTTTGATACTCTAAATAGGCCATTTGAGCTGTGGTTATTGGGGAGGGGATGAAGAAGAGGTGATGGATGTCTTGTTGTTTTCTGTCCATTCCAGTAAAGATGGTTTCACTGATGAACCAAAGCCAGTGGGCCAATTTTTGAAGGGGATCAAGGATGGAGGGGTGTCCATAGAGACCTGTGCAAAGGGCAAGGTTACAGTCCCCCACAAGAGGCTGATGAATGAGCTTATGGATGTTTCAGAAGTGTGAAAAATCAGCTTCTCTGTCTCCAGAAAATAGGAAAAGCTGTCTTCTTTTTAACCTTTGTAATTCCCCTTCTATTCTCTGTGACATTCATTCAGCTGCCAGGAGCTTTTGGCAAGGTTTGGGCCAGCGAGCACACTTCCAGTGACCGCTAACCTTGGTATGTCCTGACACTTATGATGAGTATCTGCAGGACACAGAAGGCAGGCAGCCTGCTATGTCAGGCTTTTATTATGTACTGCAGAGGCTAGGGACAGTCAGTTTAATAAAACAAATCATCCTTGAAGGTAAAGCAACTGGGAAGAGGAGGAGGAAGACAGGGGGAAAATGTTCTTGCCACTCACTCCCATTAAAAAAAAAAAAAAAGAACAGCAAAACAGCCACCCACCCAAAGCAACCCAGCTGTGAACTGAGCAAACTTGAAAATCTCTTTCTTTCTCCCACTTCCCCTGGTGCTCACAAGGCTCCCCTTTACTCTGTGGACACTCAAGTACAATCATGATGAAATCTATAGATGCTGTTGGTCAATCCCCTTCCAATTGATGAGTGTATTTAAGTAACTCATCACAATTCTATTCTCCCGCAAATGGCAAGGCAAGACCATTTGGGGTGAGCTTCCTATATCTGGATGCCTTTTTTATCAAAGCAAAGTTTCCACTCTCCCCTCCTGAAGAACGCTGGGCAAAGCAGCTCCCACAATAGCCTGGGAGTTCCAGCCAGAGACTTTGGAAGCCTTTTGTTTTTTCCCTGTGGCATGTCCAAAGGCATGGCCTTCCCCCTCCTCCCCCACCCCCAGCAGCCCTCATTGTCTTGCATTCCAGTGGCTTGATTGACTGTTGCCACCTGATGCTGAGGAGACAGACTCTAGGGTTCATTCTGCAGATTGTTGGGTTCTATTAAAAGAAACCTAGATAAGGGATTACTTGTCACTAAGGGATTTTCTGCAGATGTTTATTAGTGATTGGAAAGCCATTAGGTGTGAGGAGGTTCAGAAAAATACAGGGCAACACCATCTCATAGCCCTGAATTCTAAGACGAATCTCCCCCTCCCCCAAAGTCAAAGTCAGGAGGACCTCCTTACGCCGGCAAGATGGAGATGGGGAAAATTTTTAAGCAGAGAACTGAGGGTTCCTGTTTTCATGGGTGAGATTTCTTCTTGTGGATGGAAGTCTCTGGCACCTTCTCAGATCAGTTGCTACCTAGCACTGGACCTCTAGAACCACCCACAAAAGATTAGTGCTCCAGTGTTAAAGGATCTCATTCTTTGACCCAGCTCAGTTCATTTTGCATAGATACTGCCTCAGAGCAAGCACTAAATTGACAAACCATCTCACTTGTGCACAAAGAATTCATCTGTTCCCCAGCATAAGCCAATTACCAAAGTTTCTTCCTGGAAATTTTTGTCCATTTCCATTTATTTTGAAGTTACCAGTTCCTTAGTGGTGGTTTTTCTTGATTATAGATTCACAACTTGCCAGGAATTTGATGCCCCAGATGAGTCAAAATAACTTGTAAAAAGCACTAAAATGGAGCCAGCATGGAGAAACACCTTATTTTGCATGAGTATCTTTAGCTTTCATTGCTTTTACAGCAATAAAATGATTTCTGAGATCCATTCTACTTATAGTCATCCGATTTTGTAATTATTTTAAACTTTATTTTTAAGTATTGGGGGAGCATATAAGGAGACAGAGCAATATGAAATAGAGCAGAAGGTGTGATGTCGTTACAAACTACGGTATTTATCAAAATAACTCACAAGAGACACTGTGCTGAAAATTGTGGGCGACACAGAGTGAAAATGACATGTCTCCTTATCTAAAAGGCACCTATGAAAGGTAATTAAGGTCAAAAGCTAAATAATACCAAGACACAGATACAAAAGGTATTCCAGGGCAGCCCATAATGATGACCATGAGAAACAAATGTTTAAAACAGGATAAAAAACACAAAAAAAACAAGCACAGCTAAGTATAAAAATAAAGTGGCAGAGGTAACCTGAAGAGGTTATCTCTGTTTCTGTTTTCAGGTATATCCTACAACTACCCTCCCTCCTCTGGGGCTTGTGCTGTTCTAGTTATCTCTTCCTCTGCTGCCAATCTCCACAAGGATGACCCCCCTCCCTGACCCCTAGCTCCCTAGACCAGCTGTGGGCGGGGCTTGGAGTGGGCGGGGCTTCCGGCCTCCTGGCTTCCGGGCTTCCTCTGAAGCAGCTGCCCACACCATTCTTCCCTCAAAGCTCTCAACGGTTGCTGCTTCCCTGAGTGTTCAAGGAACACAGAGTTTCATGGAGGCTGTGTCGTCAATGGCCAGTGAGACAAAACACTTCTTGAAATGTTTGTTTTAATAAATGTTTCTGTAGCATTTGGTTAACAGCTCCCAAACCAAGAAGTTAGAGTGGGTAGTCGCACTAATTGTGCTCCTGACAGACTTCCTCTGCTAGTAATGCCATATGACGAACTGTGGAGGATTCTCTTTGGCGGAGCAGGAAAGGGTAGTCAAAAAAATGCTTAATGGCTTTTCATTTGGTGGAAGGTGAGTGGGAGGCCTAGCTCTCCTCTACCACATCCCCATGTGAGTATAGGGGCTTTGGGGAAAAAATCACCAATGGTCTGTGGAAAATCCAGGTGAGTTCTCAGGTGGAGACGATGCTTCCCACATCCACGAGGTGGGCACTAGTGATTTCCAGGCAGCAATGGAAAACTGAGTCCTCACAGACGGGCCAGTGTCAACGACTTTTGGAGGAATTGCTCAAAGTCCTCTGTTTTTCTAGACTCCAGTGAGTGCTTTTTTGTTTCTAGGGAGTTTCTGTGTTTCCCTGAAATGGACAGTTGACTTGCTATTGGGAGCAATGAGTTTATTTGTCCAATTTGGGATGTGAAAACCAGGAATGTCTGGTGATTATTCTAGTTTTCTTTACCAGTCACTGTCCTTATAAAAAGGTTCACTGTACCAGTGGAGAAAAAGTGGGGAGAAAGGGATTAACGTGTTCAACATGACTGCTTCCCTTTGACCTTGGGAAGTAGTGGTACAACTGAACCAAGATGAGACTCTTTCATCTGCTACCTGTGTATGGAGAGATGTGTCTACTCATATAACTATGGTACATTTTTGTCTTCACAAATGTGCACTTAATGTAAAAATAAAACACTACTAATGCAGAAGTACCCCACAAAAAGAAAATCTGAATGTCCATTTGTACTTGGAAAATTATGAATTCATAGAATTTTATTGTGACTCCATTATGTTGGTGTGGAATGATAGGTACTAGTACAAGTTACTTAAAAGAATACTAAATAAGAACATCCACTGTTATTTTTCCTAGTCAAGAGGTCAGACTATTAAATCAGTAATTTAGAGGACACAGATACACACATGCATATACACAAGGCACATATGTATTAATTGCTGTGGAAGAAAAGTCTTATCAAATAAGGATTTTGAAAAGAATGGGGAATGTTTATCTTAAAACGTAATGACCTTGAGCAATTTTCTGGCTCTGTCTGAGCCTCAGCTTTGTCATGTAATTGGGATAATACCTTGTACAGAGGTTGGGAGATAGTAAGCACTTAGTAAATGTCAGTTTTATAATTATTATCAGCTGCATAAATCACTTTCTCATAGAGCAAGTCTCATCTTTAGTGAAATAGTTTCTGATGTAATATTTTTAGGATTAAGTTTAAATTTTATGTTTCATAATTTCATGTTAATGTCATTATCTTCTTCATGTAGGTAGAGTTCTTCATAGTACAGATTAATATATAATTGAACATTCAAATCAATACAACAGGAAATTGAGATTTTAGATGTTCTTCATGGAAAGTATGGGTTTACTTTCTATAGAAGGCCAATTGTTTATTATTCTATTTTGAGAACATATTTCACTTTCATAAAGGAAATATGAATCAAATTCTGAAAAATTAGTTGGAGATTTTCTTCCAGAATGGACCTACTTAATGATGTGAAGAATCCCAGCTATTAGTCCCCTGTGCTTCCCCCAGTGTTCACAATGAAGTTCAAATTATTCAATAGGTCTGTCTGTATCCTTTGCACAAATATCATTCTAAAACTCTCCAAAGCTGTCAACCCCAGTTACAATGCTGCTATATATAACAACTTTACATAAGAGAATAGAGGCTGGCCGGCAGGTGTCATGTAAGCCCCTTTCTGAAAGAATGAACTTAGCTCAGTTTCCTTTGAAGAACTATAGACTTGAAACTGAAAACTTTATTAATGCCACTGTCTCCTTGTATCAGCAGGTTCCAGAGAGATTCCTGGAAGTTGCGCAGATCACATTACGGGAGTTTTTCAATGCCATTATCGCAGGCAAAGATGTTGATCCTTCCTGGAAGAAGGCCATATACAAGGTCATCTGTAAGCTGGATAGTGAAGTCCCTGAGATTTTCAAATCCCCGAACTGCCTACAAGAGCTGCTTCATGAGTAGAAATTTCAACAACTCTTTTTGAATGTATGAATAAGTAGCAGTCTTCTTTGGATGTCTGACTTCTGTGTGTCTAGATTGTAATTTCATATATATGTGTATGGGAGGCATAGATCTATTATAATGTCAGCTGGTAATTCCTCCCCATCACCTTTCTCTCCTTTCCTTTTGTTTTCCATTACAAGGGGATGGTTATTTTCCTTCGGCCTTCAATTTACTTTTGCCCAATGCCCTTAACATTTGAAGACTTAACCTAGGGTTGATTTTCAGGGAAAAAGAATGTTAGCATGTGTAAAGTCTCTATTAACAAGGAAGGGAAATTGCAAAAGATGCATCTGCTTGCTGGGTGGCTTTTTGCAAATAAATGGTAATTGACCAAGATGAATCCGTGACACAGCACAGCGCTACAGGTGGTGATGTGTCTCTTGTTTTTACTGTTTAGAAGGTCTGAAAACCAACAAAACCACTACCTACACTTAAATATTTTGTTTGGTTAGAATTCAACAAGTAACACTTTCTTACATGATTAAAAAAATAATGCCAATGGCAGATAAGCAGCTCACATTTCAAAAATACCCCCCAAAAGGCCAAATTTAAAAAGAAAAATAATCGCTATCAATCTTTTCCTAAGAGAAATGGCAATCTCCCCAAACTAGTACTGGTTTCTAATGGAGGGAAAGCAATTTTGTACTAAACTGACTCTTTCAGATGAGGCTGGAAACTCACATGATCTTCTGGCCACCTATGTATAGTTTATTAACAGGTTCTTCATAATAAGTGAGCTTAGATCAGTCTTCATAGAGAAACCCTATAACTACTTATTATTTTTATTTATTTTGCTTCAGATATTGAAAAGCATGTGAGTTTCAAATTTATTCTTTGCTCCACTTTGTTTATATATGCTTAAAAAGATGATCGTTTCTGCTTTGTTAGCACTTTTTTCCTAAAACACTTAATTCCTGAATACCTTTCCTCAGTAAGAAATAAAGGAAATCCCAATTGACCATAAAATCCTTGTCTACACTGGAAGTATGTTGACAGCTGTTAGTGGACTTGATCTGCATCTCCTAAGAGGAGCACCTGTGAGATTGACCTGTTTCTATATATGATTCCACGCTACCCTGATGGGTAGTGCCAGTGGTGACAGTCAAAGTGCTTCTTCATTTTAGGTATAACATCTTAAAGCAACTGATTATAATGTCTCTTCAAATTCAGAAGCTAGTACTGACCAAAATGTGAGAAGAGTGTATAGTATAGAAAAGTTCGGGGTTATCCCAATAAGACACAATTTCAGCACACCTAAGAAAGCTAGCTGCTATTTTTATGCTTTCTTTAATGATTCTCCTTTTTATTTTCTTTTTTCCAGTATTTCATTGATGTGCAATGTCCCATTCTTGGCATTTTTAAAAATCTCATGGCTGTCGCACTTGTTTTCTTAGATGGATTTTTGTGTGCAGATGCAGTGAGAATTCATTGTTCATTCTAACTGTTTTCCAGGCTTCTCCTTTCCCTTACTTACTTAGGTAATTTGATATGCATCTCCTAAAATGACACAGTAATGAACCTGGTATTTAAAACACACAGAACATACATGCCATTTTCCCTTCATTTTTTTATAAAAATTACACTTGACTTTGGAGAACACAGGTCGACCCATGTGACTGACTAGCTGACCTGATCGCTCTAGTTTAACATCACTTATAAATTCTGCTGATGGACAGGAATGTGTGAACACAATTATTGTCAGCACAAAGCCTTAAAACCTGCTGACTTTAAATTAAATGGTGCAGTCCTGTGATGTCCTGCATCATTCGGGAAACTAACAGGCCCTCACAGCGTGGATAGGGCTAGTGGACCAACCTTTTCACTGCACCCATGGCTCCACACATCCACGCAGAATCTCATTACAGCCAGTTTGTTATTTTTTCTGTCTTTAAAAAAAGTCCACCTAGTGATTACATTGGAGTCAAAATGTTAAAAAAATAATAAAGCAGGAGTCAAATCAGCACAAAGCAGGGAAGCCATTTCAACTTTTGGTCACACTCTTGACTTGCTTGGTTGGGAAGAATATGATGTTTATTTTTCATGCCAGTATACAACTGGGTCTTTGCTGTTCTGTGTGGCTCATATCAACATCATATTGCCCTTTGCAAGGTAAAAGGCAAAGCCGTAGTATATTCACCTGGGTATACCAATTGCTAGGTTATCTTCTTAATCTGGGGCAAGTGAAATATTGATTGATGCTTATTTGGATTTTTAGTATTATTTTTCCCATCTTTCTCATTTACATAGACAAATCAAAGAAAAGTCTGTGTTCACAACCAAATGTTGACATGCTTATCTACTGAGAATATCTTCTCAATGTTCACAGAGACACAGAAATTATTTCAAAGTAGAAGTCACAGCATGAGGATAAACTCTACTCTTTGTCCTGAAAATAGAACTCTATCACTTTGCTTTTGGGTGGTTTTCTCCCTTTTACAAGGAGAAATCTTGTAATTTCTATTCATAGAATCTTGTGCCTCCCAGTGCATTGGAAAACAAGAAAGTCCTGTCTCTCAAAACTCCTGTTTAACAGTCTTAAAAAAAAAAAATCTTAGCTCACCTCTCACCAGGTAAAAATAGGGTCCATGGGAGAAAGTCATCTTTCTGTGGTGGAGGGTGAAGGATGAGGGACAGTTTACATAGGAGAAAGAAAAAAAAAGTCTAAAGTCCATGTTGAAATTCCACATTACCACTTATTTTCTGCAAACCCAAAATTATTTTTGCGTGTACACTTGAGGTTTATAGTCTGTGCCTAGACCTAAAATGCACCAGCGGGAGGGTTTTTAAAAATCCTTCAAAATACCAGTTTTTCCCCACAAGTACAATTGTTCTTGTGCCTTCTGTGGCTTTCGATTTCATCTTTTTGACTTTATTTCCAATTACTACAGCTGCAATAAACACTAGACTTTTTTTTCCTGGCTGTTTGACATAATGTTGATAGCTATGCATATTTTGTGTCTTTTTAAAACAAAGCGGAAGAATACGTTTTTGAAGAAGAGAATTTTTAGAACAGTTTGATACCGCAAATTATTTTTTCCTCAATTGTTTGAGCAGCATTCGAGTTTTGAAAATTCTTGTAGAGGCCAATTTTTTGTAACTGTGGTGCAAATCTTGTGTTTTCTTAGCCTAATGAAAAGTAGCATAGAAGCAATATTTCATATCATGTGCTATGTATGTGTGTGCAGATGTGTGCACGCAGCACATCCACACATATACACACATGTAAAAATATACATATATATGCGTGTGAAGTGGATAGCTTTCCTTTTCCTATCTAGATTTAAGGACCTATTTTAGACATTTATGTTTTGTGAAAAGAATGTTCTATTTGCAACAGCAACACCTTTAATTCTGTTTCTTTGGCTGTTTCATGAGGACATTTCACATTAAATGGTAAAATACGTGGAAGATGTTAGAATGTAGTGATTATTTAAGTAAATGTTCACCCACATATTCCTGAAGTTTGCTTTGTGCCTCCAAGTATTATTTAATTAAAGTGTTTTTTATGTTTGCAGAATCTTTGTTACTGTATTAGGGTTGTGGGTGACTATCATTTAAAAAATTTTAAAACAACAAAAAAAAGCAAAACAGAAACACTAAAGCAAGAGGGGAACTTTTATAAAGCAATGTAAATATTTAACCTCATGGCTGTTGTTACGTAAGACATGAGTTTTAATAAATAACTACATTCTCACAACATCTGTTGAATTTATTAGGAACACTACAATGACTGTACAGACATTCTTGAAAATCCTGCTCTCTACATTTAAAAGATAAGTCTTTTTTTTTTTTTAATCAGACTTCAAGGGCAAGGGTAATGCAGTTTCTGTAAATTTATGAAATTTCAATGTACATGAAGACATTTAGTAAGGAGTCCCCACTCCCCCACACCCATGCAGGTTAATACTGAGTCACAAAGCTGAACAGGTGGGGACTTCAAAAGTAGGGTGTCCCCCAGAAGCATTCACAAATTCATCAAAGAAAAAGTGGTTTTCAGACTCCCCTGAAAGAAGCAGTGTATATGTGAGGACAGTGCAAAAATCTCTTTGCCATGTATATTATAGAGTATTCATTGGTGTGAATAGTACAAACGTTTCCTTCTGGTACAAGCTCTGTGTTTGCAAACTACAAGACACATTGTTTTCAAAAAGCTCCCCTTAAAAAATGTAACTGGTGGATATGAATAAGCAGTTACTGTATTGCACTTAAATGTTATGTTGAAGGAAATGCAGTTTTGTTTTCTGTAGATCTGTTGGTTGTAAACCATCCAGAAAAACTAAAGCTAAAATGCTCATTTTCAGAGCTGGGATCAAAACTGGTATTTAACCTTTGCATCTTCTTATAATTATCTTTCTAAGAACATGACAGAATGTGGAAGTGTCTGGACTTTGAATCTTTTCAACTGAGCCCTCTCTCAAATTGGACACCCCCTAAAATGTACAAACAGGAGCAGAAAAGGCAAACAGGCTGGCCTTCCTTTGTGAAAATGTATTCGTTCTGTATTTTTTAAATACTCAAATTCTCCACAAAGGAGTTAAAAGCATTTTAAAATTGTATATTGCTACTTCAGATTTAGAACTAGAAAACAAACGTATTTGGGGTTGGTCTCAGTGCTACCTAGAAGAATCAAAGGTTGTGACTTCCCCAATATTGTCCCAGCCATTTGTCATATGTATATAGTATAAACCGTGACAAAACACTGCCTTCATATTATTTAGCAATATGTTGTAAATAGCATTATGAAGCTCATTTGTTTTGTAATAAAGACCCTTTGATTTGAATATAGTACAATATCTGAACTGATAAAATCAATTTTTGATTTTCTTTTTCTTTTTTAGCTAGAGGCAATTTCAATTGTGGATTTTTTGTTATTGTCTATTGTTCTGAAGACTTTGCATAATTTATTGGTTTAATTTATCCTAATTTATTTGATGAAGGTGTACAATTTTGTATTACCAAGGATGTACTGTAATATTAATTGATATGATAAACAACAATGAGACTCCCTGTCCATATTAAAAAGAAAATAAAAAGGTGCAGTAGACAATTGATTTTAAAGTACAAGTTTAAAAAAAAAAATTGAGTTTGGCAGCTGCTAAATTTCCAAACAGGAAAAGAAGTTGTTGTGGGGAGGGTGGGAATGGGGTTTTACTTTGTGTGTTTTCAGCTTTTGTATACTCTCCAAACTTTTACCTTTTGCTTAGTACCACTTAAAGGATACAGTAGTCCAACTGCCTTGTGTGCCTTCCATCTTCTCTTAAACTGAATGTATGTGCAGTATATATGCAAGCTTGTGCAAAATAAAATATACATTACAAGCTCATGCTGTTGATTTTTTCTTTGAAAAATGTATGGCATTTCAATTCTACACCTGTGTTCAATTGTAAGATGATAGGCTAATTATGAGTGTAATGTCAAATATAGAGTTTGCTTTCAGTACAATTATTTTTTCAGTATTGGGGAATGAACCCAGGGCCTCATGCCTGCTAGGCAAGCGCTCTATCACTTTAGCTACGCCTTTCAGCCCTTTTGTTGTTTTGTTTTGCTTTGCTTTTTGTTTTTGAGAGGGTCTCACTATTGCCCAGGCTGGCTCAAACTTGTGATCCTCCTGTCTGGTCTTCCTGAATAGCTGGGATTAGAGGTTTGTGCCACCACTCCCATCTTACAATTCTTAATTATATAAGTCCAGCATCAATCCACGGAAGTCCTAAAAGTGACCTTTCTACTTCTATGCTTGCAGTAAATGCCGAGGTGTTGCTATGAAACCTCTCCTTTCAGATTTAACTTC